TAGGTACCGGAACACTAGGAATGACTGCATGGTCACTACGCATGAGTAATCCGTCAACACAAGAGAGTTCATTCCTGACATGAAATGAAGCCATTAACTCATTGTTTATGTGCTTCTTAAAAGGCCAGCCCTAGGATACACATTCACAGACTTTTTGCAACGTCACATCTGCATTCGTTGCAAGTTGGACGGTTTCTTTTTCCACTACTGATGTCACTAAAGACACCATTTCTTCATCCTTGCTAAGTTCTGGACGGATCTGAATTGGCAGCCTAGACAGGGCATCAGCGACCACATTTTCTGAGCCCTTGCAATATTCTGTGTCAAAGTTGCAATAAAAAAGTCTAGCTGACCATCGCGAAATCCTTAAAGGCCGTCAGCCTGCATCACCTGCGGCTAACAAAGCAATACAGCCTGATGGTCGGTTCTAAGGGTGAAACGTCTACCCCAGAGGTAAATATGCCACCTTTCACACGCGAACAGACAGGCAAGCGCTTCGCGTTCACCCACAGAGTACTTTCTTTCAGTATCTGACAAGGTTCTCGACGCAAAGGCTACTGTTTAGAGCTTAGGACCATACCTCTGCTGTAACACAGCCCCGATGCCCACGTCAGATATGACGGATGCCCTGTCCTTTAGATATTCCTGAAATTGTACAGAGACAAATTGGTGGACCATTGTCAGTTACTAAAAACTCTGGTAGCTCTTCCGGCTAAACGACGATACCAACAGCTTATTGACATCCTCTGTGGAGATAGAATTTGTCCCAAGTACCTAGCCGTTTGAATAGTAGTCGACTAAGGTAACAAGATACCTGGAAAAGGTGCATTAACGGGCCGACAATGTCCATACCCAACTTTCGCCACAGCCCTTCAGGACATTCAACGGGCTGCAACGGTGATACACGCGGCTGGCCGGCTTTCTGTCAGCTGACAGATGTGACAATGCCTGACATGTCTTTTACAGAACGATCCATCTGGGGCCACCAATGCCTTTCACGCAGAAGTTGCTAGTATACGTACTATCCTTGATGATTTTCATGTGCTAATTGGAGGAAAGTAGGTACAGGAACACTAGGAATGATTACACGGTCACTACGCATGAGTAATCGTCAACAACTCGGTCGCCACCTGATCACGAAGAGCCAGAGGGAGACGTCTCAGCTTATATGCAACTGGAGTCACACCTGGCCGCCATTGATGCGATGAATGAAACCCTTAACGAGACCCAACTCGTCGCTGCTCAAAGCCCGTAGGCACGTTGGAGGGACACTGCACTTCACATGATGCGAGTCGACACGTCAACGACGCGCCGTCAACCTGGATGCCCAGTCGCTGAATGGCGTCAAGGCCCAAAAGCGATGTGCCCTTATCGGTGACGTAGAAGACCGCGGAGCAAGACCGCTGCCACACGTTGACTGGAGCTTGGAAGGAGCCAAGGATCCCGATGCGCTGCTTGGAGAAGTTTCGCAAGTCGACTACAGCTTTGAACAGGCTGTGCTGTTTGCTGAAATGACGCTGAAAGTCTTCTGCAGTCATCAATGATACAGATGCTCCTGTATCCACCAGTAGTAACAGGGTAACGCCATCGACCCCAGCGTGGACGATCAAGTCTTTTATGGAGGAGGTGCTAACTGTGAGCACGGACAACAAAGGACGATCCGAAGATAACAAAGATGAGCTTGAAGTTGAGTTGAACTGAATGGAGGCCTGCTGCTCCGGTACGACGTCGATAGCTCCCCTCGAAGAGACGCGCTGTACAGGGGCAGTCTTGCGGCACATCGACGCGAAATGTCCCCAAGCGTTGCACGTATTGCAACGTCGACTTCGGGCTGGACAATTTTGAAAACTTGAGTGGTGCCGTCTGCTTTCGCAGCGGTCGCACGATTGAGGTTGGAAGTCGCCTTGAGACTTCTCATTTGGGACTGGAGCACGGTACCCCGACGTCGACTGCGGCTGAAAGTCGCCATCTTGGCCTCCCGGACCTGCTGACGTGACGTCACGGCCTCCCCGACTGGCGCGGCCATTCTTTCTCTTCGTGCCACCTTATTGGGTGCCTTGCCCAACGGCTTTGACATGTTCAGGTTGACTGGGAGCAAACGCTTGGTTCGCCAAGGACAATGCTTCGAGCGCCCGACCGACTTCTTCCGCTTTCTCCTAGGACTACTCTTCGCCGTATGCCAGCAGCTTCTCTCTCACCCGCAAGTTGGACGAGCCGTGAACAATCTGATCGCGGACGCGTTGCGCGTACGTGAGCCCTAACTTGCATCGTCCGGCTTTCTCCTTCAGAACTGTCACGTAGTCGAGGAAACCCTCGCCGGTGAGTTGACGACGACTTGTGAACTCGCGACGTTCAACTAGCGGATTAGTGGACGCGGCGAAAAGCCGGTCGAGCTGCTTGACGAGACTGTCACGCTTTGTAACGGCCGGAGCCGAAGAATCCGGGTCAGACGCCGGCGTAGTTGGCGCCGCGTTACTCGGAGTAGACGCCGCATTGCTCGTCTCGTGTCGGGCTTCTTCCTGTTCGGCTGCCGCGAAATACCTCCGCTGTCCTTCCCGTCCAAGCAGGCTGACGAGTGCCGACGCACGACGCGCGTCGTTCCAGTCGCTGCCGCCGGCCGCCTCGAGGTGGGCCCGAAACATTTTTTCCAATGAGTCCATGGAACCGGGGGCGGCCCCGGCAGCTGGATGAAGACAGGAAGGTGCTCGAAGAGAGCCATGCCGACAGGAGAGGTAGTACGGAGAGGTGTGGAGCGGAGCAAGGGCGAACGATTAGGCAAGGGCTTGCCAGAGTCTGCACACAAAGAGCGCTAGGCCTCGCGGACGCAAGACGAGTCACACAGGACAGAAACAGGTGGGAGTAACAAAAAACTCACGGGTTCTTTCTGCCGTGGTAGGAACCGAGGCGAAAAACATCCTCGTCGCCATGTTGTGTCGATGAACGGCGTCTGACGGCGAGGACCCGACGACTGAACGCGAGACGCAACGTGCGCCGGCAGGCGCCCCCGACACGCGCAATAGAAGTGAGTTGAGCGGAGCCCGCAGAAGCGCAACAAAGATTGAGCCGGCCAGCTGCCATTTATTGAACGACACGCAACGGACACGCGGACACACGTGATTGGCTGCATGTAATCACGTGTGTGCCGTTACAGACGATATCTGTTGAGAGAGTACACACTAGGGCGCACTCAGTGCGTGCGCCACTCACAGGTGGCACCACGACACCACACCGGTGAATGAAGGGTCATGTGGCAGAGGGTGACGGAACGTGAGTGTGCGAAATGGTGCTGCGATGTGGCTCAAGCATTCAACCGGCCGGCAGGCTCTGCCTGTCTTTGTCGAAAAGGTCCAGGTTTTGCTGATTCCGAGGGGTAGGAGTGCTACGGTGGCGTGTACGAGGCGCTGGCGCGGCGCTCCGTCGATCGGACCGGATATGAGGCGGCAGAAGGCGGTCGTCAAGTGGTCGCGGAAATCAGTGGAGAAGTACTTTAGTCGAATTCTGCTGAGTGATTTGCGAGTAGACTCGCGACTGACGGTCTTTGGGAGACGGGTGGTTGCACAAATGCGACGGTGCAGCAACCTGCAGCCATATTCATCGAATATTTTGCCCCACTACGATAGCTTCCTCACTGCGCTCGCTGGTGTTGCTGGTTTTTGTTCACTTGTGGCTCAGACCCAATGTGGGGAACTGCCGGTTTGTTGTTCTGCTTCTTGGACTTCTCCATATTCCGCTAAGTGAAGCTGTGAGGAGCGATGAGTGGGTACAGAGGCAAAGCACAGCAAAGCCCGGCCGGGGCGTGTTCTCACGCGTCCTGGGTTCCACAGCGCTTCAGGTACGCGCGTGGTGCTTCTGCACATCTAGTGCGGAATTTTTCTTGGAACTGCCAGCAACTGGCAATTACATTCAGGTGAGCATGCGAGGATGTTTGTTGTAATTAACGAGAGCCTACGACGGATGAGCTGGTATGAGGATGATGTCCAGAAATGTAGTGTATGGTCAACAAACACGCGATGCCCGCCGTGGTGATCTAGTGGATATAGGGTACTCGCCTGCTGACCCGCACTTGGTGGGATTGAATCCCAGCTGCGGCGGCTTCATTTCCGATAGTTGCATTTTTTGGATGAATTCCTGAAATGTTGTAGGCCCGTGTGCTCAGATCAGGGTGCACGTTAAGAACCTCAGGTGGTCGAAATTTCCGGAGCCCTCCACTACGCGTCTCTCATGATCATATGGTGGTTTTGAGACGTTAAACCCCATATATCATCATATCATCATTACAAGGCGATGGCCGAGGGCACTAGCGAGGTAGCTGCAGGAATGCGTGGCAACGACCATGTCAGGGACACAGGAAAAGCAAATCGGGGCTTTGCCGCTCCACCTTGCTGCAGGTGTGTACGGGGTGGATCGTGTGGTGTTCTTATCGATTTTTATTTTTGTGACGGGGAATAGTGTATTTGCGAAGACGTGGCGAGAGCAGGCGTCTTCAGGTTAACACGTCTCGTGAAGACGTGAAATAAAAATGCCTTCGCTTGTCATTGCAACTGTGAACACGAACACCAACACCCATTAGAAGTTGTTTGATTTATTTTTTCCCGAAATGGGCAAATTCTAAAAACGGCAAGAGGTTGGCACATACACACTTCTACCTTTCCTCTGAAAATGGTATTAATAAAGTACTCATTAGTTTTAATGAGTTAGTAGGGAAGTTAATAAAACTTAGAGTATGTACGTGTGAACATAAAAACAAAAAAGATGGGTCTCTCCGATTGTGAAATTTCCACAAAAACATTTATTTTCCCTGAACAATCGTAATTTTGAACGAACACAGCTAGCGCACTCCCCGGGCACGTGGGCGAGTGGCCGCGAACACAGGGTAAGCCGAGGCAGCGTGATGCCAAAGCTTCGGACAGTCGCCACACCCACGCGGTTTAACCCGATATCGTTGGTAAATCTGGACACTCTTTCTTTTATTGAGAATATTGTAGAACCCACCCCCGCAGAGGGAGTGGGCCGATCCCGGAGGTAGTGCAATACGGGGCCAACCCGTGGCGGAGGTGAAGCAACCTTCAAGCACTCCGCCGCATCACAAAATTAAGTTTAATATCTTGAATCCATCCGGGATCCATATCAGATATTAAGCTGATAAGATCAGAGTGTATCCTTTATTATGTTCAAGACAGTGCAAGAAATGTCTTAAGTCTGCTGGATGACAAGGTGGTTGGTCTGTACATAGCTCCGGGATAGCCTGATGGAGTCCGGACGCGGGTGGTTGCACCAAGGACACTAGGACTAGGAAGGTGTGGGCATCGCAGGAATGCCTGGTACAGCAGCGAGCGGACTAGTGTGTGTAGTAGGCGTCGGGCAACGAGGCGACGTAGGAGTACAGGTGTTGCCTGGCCCAGTGGTCTTTTAACTGCGTCCATGTCCCATGTGCGCACGGTAGATGGCGCGAGACGCTGCCACTACCTCGCTCACAGAGTTTTAGGGGCGAAGCTCCTTATAGCGGCACCCGTTCATACCGCGTCCCGTCGTAGTATGTAACCAGTCTTACGCTTTGACCTGCAAAGATTTTGACCTCCAAGGTGGTGCCAGTGAGAGATTCCTTCTGTGCGTTGTTGAACACCAAAAATAGTGCTCAATGTACATGCCAATAGCTGACAATGG